TTAATTATTTATTGTCAGCATTCCCTGTTCTAAAGGAGAAAGCATAGTCATTGTTTGGTAGCAAGAACTTTCAATGAAATTAAGTCAGTAAACTGCAAGATGACTCATAGCATAATTTCTTGGGCAAAGTCTATCTTCAAATGCTCTGCATGTGTAGGAGGAATGGTTACCAAGGAGTTTTAAAAGATAGCTTTTTAAACTACACATGCTGCACAAAGAAGAAAATGAGAACATGAACAAATTGAAAGACAGATGGAACCAATCATAAGTCAGTACAGATGGACTGCCAACTCTGAGGACTGATTTTCCAGTTTTCTCACTGGACAAGTCAGTAGGTTCCCAGATCAATTCTGTACATCCAGCCTCATTTGAAAATCTGGGTTCAAACTCCTTGGGATATTCCATACTGTAGAGATCACAGAGAGAACACAAAGACAACTGGATTAAGCTAACTGAAATCAAGTACATATGACTTTCTATAGGAAATCTGAGTCTAGGATTTCCAAAAGAATGAGTAATTGGGAGGCCAGGCTTCATCATGAAGCCCAGTGGTGTCATTCAAGTGGGAAAAGACTATACAGGTGTTCATTTTTCAAACGATACTCAGAACTTCTCAGAATGTAGGAGAGTGATGAGGATGTTCACCTAGCACAATGAATGGCTAAATGATCAGGAAAGCATGTCCAGTGCTTCAGAGTTAACCACTGAACGCAGAAAAAGAATAAAAAAATGTCTAAATTTAAACCCTACGATTCTGAGCAAGTGTAATAAAAGCCAGAAATGTATTGCAGGATTTGTATCTCCACCAATCTTCACTGTCCCAAAACCATCACCACAAATCCTGTAATCTTCCTAGGAAGGCAAGGACATGGATAGAATCTTCCAAAGGATTCTTGCTACATTAATAGAATTCTGAAGAAATTAACAGTTTTCATTTACACAGATGTTTTATAACTCTAGCTCTAGTGATTTCAGATGTATTATTGTCATAGATCTTATTTTTAGTTGGTTAGTTCCAGTGACAAACTATCTGCAGTGAAAAGATTAATTTTCAGTAAATTATGTATGACTAATATATGCCAAGTCAAGCAGAAGAAGGTAGAATGACCATAATAGACAGAAAAGACAACAGCAAGTGTTCAAAACACCATAATTACAATACTCTTTACCATTATAATCATTGTGCAAAAGTTGGCCATATGTTCATCATTTATTCCATCTGTGTACAATAAGGAATACATATTAATTTGTTTCTGGTATGGGGATAAAGAGGGCATAAAACCACAATATGCTTAGAGAACATGCAAACCATCTGTGGTCCTAAGACAACTAGTTCCTCTTTTGAGAAGAAAGCACATTACCAAATCCAAAACTCAAATGCCTTTGTAAACAAAGGTTCGCACTGAAGTAAGAGCAATACGCTGTTTCTCATCCACTACAGTGTTATCTTAGACAAGGTGAAACCCATACACAAATAGGTAGATTGTGGCCAGATTCTCCAGCCCAGATACAACCTAACTTGGAGGCAGCTCTGGAGGAAGGTTGTAGGGCCTCCAGAAGGCTGAGCATAGCACAGGTTAGTGTCTAGGATTGAAAAAGACATTTCTGCCTTGGATACAAGATATTTTGGGGGATCTTCAGGCAGATCACAACTATGCATTACACCACTCTTGAGAGGCTACATCTCCTCATTCCAGCCTGAAATGGGAAAAAAAGGCATTCAAAACTTGAGTCCTGGTGATACAAGGTAATAATATAGCCTCAGTGTCAATCTTTTGTTTTCTATAGCCAGATAGTAAATAGTCAAGCATAAAGAATCTTTTTCACATAGTGATAATATTTTTGTGAGAATGGACAGGAAAATGGACAGGACAGGAAGCTGTATTAACTAAGCCTTTGGATAGGAGGTCTTACAAAATGTGCAGCTCTCCTGCAGCTATTCAGGTCATCGTTTCTCCACTCTGAATCCCTATGAGACTTTATAGCATTCGGCACATTGGCCCAGAGATGCTCTGAAAGGCAGCACCACACGAGCCAAGTGAAGGCCTGAGCAGTGACGGAATGTGAAATCAACTAAGAGTTGGCATTGCTGTCACTAAGCTAGACCATGTCGACAAAAATATGTTAGTGTGGGGGTCCCTCAAATGGGTTGATGATGTTGCTGGGCAGAAAGAGGCTGCCTGATCATCCCAAATAAAATATCAGAATTCAAAACCACAGGAACTTTCTGCACATTGCCACTATAGTGATGAGCCAACACTTCACAAAGTTGCTCTAGGCACCAGATTAAGCTGAGATGAAATGAGACTTAATTTATGCTTGTATTTTGCCATGTTCAACTCTGACTAACCATATTAAAATACAGAATGTTACAGAGTTAAGCAGAAATAAATAAAAAAAAATGTAACTAATACTTTTGAAACAAAGCCTAGTTAACAATGTAGCACTCTCACAGTCCCAGGGTCCTTCAGCGCACAGAAAAAAAATTAAATAATATGTTGTTACAGATTAACAAAGATTAGGATTACTTGATAAAATCTCTTTGTGATAAAGGATTGAAACATCATCATACTAGGAAAAAAGTTTAAAGTATGATTTGTATTCCTCGGCAGGGATAGGAGAGTCAAAGGATGTGGCTAAAATAAACTGCCGGGTTCCCGTGAGATACCTCCAGTGCTGTTGGGTTGCCTCTGTGAGCTGCCTGGCAGGAGGGTTCCTAGTTGGGATGTGTTCCCAGTACCTATACTCTTAAGTATTTCCAAGCCTTCCTAGGCGCATCTACACTATACATTGCATATACTCTCCCTGGGCACAGCACTTACCCAACCCGTTGCCTGTTATTCCCAGGCCTTTATAGCACTTCTGGCTGAGTCACAATTTATTTGTCCGTAGCAATGAGCAATCGTGCTATCCTGTGATTCAGCAGCTGGTCCTGTATGAAAGAACACACCTAACACTACCCTCCAATGCCTTTGTTAACCTTGTGGTGCTGACATGTCCTAACAAGGGGTGACTTGAAAACTGAAGGAAATTTAGTTGTGGGGAGCTCCAGGGAGCCCTGGAAGAAAAGAGCTGTGGTGTCCTTCCTGTATGACCACTCGGGTACTCTGTCTTGTTGGTGCTGACACTGTTTTGGTTTCAGCACTGGATTCTTAGCCCTTCTGTTTCTCACATTCAGAGTCTAGCCAAAATGTTTGAAGTTGTAACTTCTGACAATGCCTAGAGTCTCTCAGAGGTTCTCAGTGCCTACAATAAAAACCTCCAATGGGATCAGTGTTCTTCAGATGTGGGAATAAAGAAGATAGGCACCTAATTTCAGCGTGTGAAAAGTTACTTTAATGGTTTGTTAGGAGCTCACATTGTTCCTGAACACCGGAGAAGAGATGACCAGGATCTCATCCTGGTCCAGGAGCAGGTGGCAGTTCTTCTGGGACTTGTCCAGGCACCTAATAGATGCATGGTACAGCAGTTCTGCAGCTGCATTTGATCCAACTTTGAAGCTAGCCCACCTTTGAGCAGGCAGCTGGACTATCTTTCAACCTAAATTTTTCTCTTTGGAAAAGGGGTCACAAGCTGCCTCCCGTCCCTTTGTTGTTCACTCTGTAATTAAAAGAAATTTACAACATATACATAAACATACATGTATATATACCAAATTTGCTGTGTGGCTCTGCTTAATCTTTTTTATCTGATTTTATAGAAAATTGAACATTCCAGAAAAAAACAAACAAACAAATCCCCTAAAACAGGCAGTCAATTTTTCACTTTACAAACAGGAAGCTTTTAATGCAATTTAAAAATTAGCTTTTATCATTTCAAACTGATGCTTGTTTGGGTAATGATCTGGTGAATCACATTGCAGTTCTAGCAAGTTACCCAGAAGCAGCTGGTAAAACACAATAATCTATTACAGAGCAAAGAGGCTTAGGTGTTCTCAGTATCATTCTTTGGAGTAATTCCTGTGTACCTCAAACGGGAATTATGAAAATAGGCAGCATTATGATTGAGTAAAATTTACATTCAGGCCCTGAACTTACACTAAGCAAAGCTTCCACAGCCGTGTGTACCTTTCCCAAGTAATCTCTCCCTCTACTCTGCACTGGTGAGGCCACAACTGGAATACTGCGTCCAGTTCTGGGCTCCCCAGTTCAAGAGGGACAGGGAACTACTGGAGAGAGTCCAATGTAGGGGCAACCAAGATGATTAAGGGATTGGAGCTGGGGCTCTTTAGCCTGGAGAAGAGAGACCTTATCTATGTTTACAAGTTCCTAAAGGGTGTGTTGAAGGAGGATGGAGCCAGACTCTTTTCAGTGGTCTCCAGCAATAGGATGAGGGGCAACGGGCACAAGCTGAAACATGGGAAGTTCCACTCAAATATGAGGAAAAACTTCTTTCCGGTGAGGGTGACGGAGCCCTGGAACAGGCTGCCCCGGGGAGGTTGTGGAGTCCCCTTCTCTGGAGATTTTCAAGACCCGCCTGGATGCAGTCCTGAGTGATGTGCTCTGGGCAACCCTGCTTTGGCAGGGGAGTTGGACTAGATGATCTCTAGAGGTCCCTTCCAACTCTGTCAAATCCATGAATCCATGAATCCATGAATTGCTGTGACACCACCCATCTTTTCCTCTCAGCTCTCAGGGACACCAGTTTCCACAGCGCACTGCGGCCCCGGAGCCACTCATCAGAAACCCTCAACTGTCCGTCAGGGCACCACTGAGACACAAGGAAACCTAGTCAGATATTCACAGCGGCGTTAAACCTTTGGCCTGCAGAGGCATCCAGGCATTTCACTAAAGCCAAGCCCTACGGCCTTCTCGCCCTCGGATCACGGCCTTCCCGCCGCCTCAGCGCCCAACGGCTGCTCCCGGCGCGAGCAACGGCCCTCCCAAGGGGCGGGGTTTCGGGGCCCGCCCCACCGTGTCTCCATGGCGACCTGACCCACCTCGTCGCCATGGCGACCTGTCCCCGCCCCTTCCGGCAGCCACTCGGAAGCGGCGGGGCGGAAGCGGCCGGGGGCGCCGCGGTGGGCTGAGGCGGGGGCGGATGAGCGGGCGGCGGGGGCGGCTGTGTGGGGCGCAGGGCCCCGCAGGAGGCCGGCAGGTGGGTAACGACGATCGGTGTCACGGGGCTCCCCTTCCCGGGTCAGGGAGGGGGCGGTTGGTCGGGTGGCGGCTGCTGCCCCCTGGGCCGGGCCGGGTGGGCCGCGGGAGCTGAGGGCCTGTCCTGCGCCCTTCGGCCCGGCCGCAGCGCGGCCTTGCCTCTGCACGGCCCGGCCCTTTGCGGCTGGCTGCTGCGGTCGGTGGCTCCGTGCGGTCGCTCTCCGCCTTGGCAGGTAGGCCCTTGTCCGCGGAGAGGGCGGCAGCCCGGAGGTGTGGTTGGCCCGGCTGCCCGCCTGGCGGTGCTCAGCGGCGCGGTTACGGCAGGGCCTGGGCGGATCGGGCTCCCCGTCCGTCGCGGGGCTTGCACCTGCGCCTCGCCTGCAGCCGGACTGAATACTGTCTCCATCTGTCACTCCTAAGACCTGGCTTCAGCGTGGGCGAGGAGGCTGCTCGCAAAGCAGTTGGCCTGTAGGGTGGCACTGATGGACGCCTCCCTCCCCCGGGCCATCCTGTGCAGGCTCCTCTTCGCCCACCACCTTTTCATCTGCCAGAAGCCAGCAGGTTTCAGCCTCGCGGGGAGCTCTGAGTCATTCTCTGTGGGTTTTCTTCCTATTGAAATTGTTTCCACGCTGAAAGAGCTGAGTAAGGTTTAGGGAGGTGTGAGGTTACCGACTTGTGCCATCTGAGATCTAGGAAGGTGTTTGCCAAAGCCGTGGCTGATGTGGAATGTAGCTGCAATAAAAATATTTCCACAAATGAAAATTATAGATGGTGGAATTTCTTAAGTGAACGTTTCAAGTATAATGAGGCACTGAAGTGTTCAAATGTGACAGCAGAATTGAGTTTTGCTTGAATTTTCTCATCTCCTCACTGGAAATGATACTAAGGATTTAAAGATCGGGGCTTTAGAGCTAGTGGGGGTTTTTCATACAATCATCTAGTTGAATTTAAAAATGAAATGATGTAGTGACATAGCATCTGAGGGTAAGGACATCTAAGGAACATGTTAGTGCTGTGCAAATTTTATTCACTTTGTAATTGGCAGCCTGCTGTGAGTCAGTATTGTACTAACATCTCCAAATAGTGCTAGAAGGCACTGCTAGCGGAATTGTTGTCTATGGAATAATACCTTCATAAAAGCAAAACAAGTAACCTAATAGGGTATACTACGTGTTTGGCTGCTTGTAATTAAATATTCTAGTCTTCTGTGCATCTGGGGAAGTGATGTTTGGGGTGTCTAGGTAGACTGCTGCAATAGAGAAGAGTATTTGGCTATATAATTGCACTTATATGCTTATTGTTACTTTGCTATTTAATATAACTAGTGTAAAATGATTGTGCAAAGTAGTAGTAGTCATTAGAATAGGAACCTCTGCACTTACACTGAATGGAACTTTTTTGTTTCCACTTTTGGAGGAAAGGATACTTTGGAAATGGAATTTAAATACAGTTAACAACTGAAATGGTTGTATTTAAATAAAATGCTTATTTAGATCCTTAGTGATATTTTTTTCTCCTTGTTTTTTTTATTTGTTTCTTTTCAGAACCCCAAGTGTGACCATAAAGTATGATTCTTTGCATGTTGCACCAAACTTCTTAAGTCCTTCTTTTGCCATTTGGTCACCTGGCTTCAACTACAATGGTAAGTTATGATTCGGGTAATCCGTTTTTAGGTCTTTTCACTCTAGCCTGTTAGGTGTCTGGTTGATGAGGAGAATGCTATTAATGTTTCTCATTTTCTTAAAAAAAAATATAAATATATATTTTGATTGTCAATCCGGAGTTATGATATTTCTTTTTTTCAGGGATATTTTCATTCATAGCTTGTACATACTTCTAAACACTTACTCTCCAGTGCATCATATGGTGTGTTTTCAGTTATGACTGGTTTTAGTCAGTTGAGTACAAAGTATAAATCCAGCCTCCACACAGATTTCTTCTAGTCATAAGTGACAATATTGCCATGAATTTTTACCTATTGTCAGTCAGTGAACTGAATGTCTGAAATCATGCAGTTATCCAGTAGACCTGTATAGAAACCATGAATATTTGACATCTTCATATAAACACTTCAAAATTTTAATGTTCTGCAGTGACAGGTTCTAATGTCATGTGCTTTTTTTTTTTTTTTTAGAATAGGTAGGAAATTTTGTATTAGAGACACTGTAAGTGAATGGTAAAAAGCCTGAGTATTTTTACTGTATTGTTGTTACTGTCATGTGCTTTTCTCCTTTGAATTCTATTCTAATGTATGAAATAACTAAAAATGCTATGTTTTGGACGTGGCTCATATGCCATCTGTTCCATGGTTTGAGTAACGGTATTTGCTTTTGTGAACAGCTGATAGGGATGGGTTAAAGTTAGGAAGTAGCATAAATACATATATATGGGAAGGAGTTCTTATTACAAGTGTTTCTAAACTTACTGAAGAGTGGAAGATTCTCCAAAACACTTCTCTCTTTTTTTAAAATAGTGTAGCCTAGATTTTCTACTTGTCATTTCTAATTGTTTTGGTTAATATTTGTTACTACTTTTATTAGGTGTAATTTCTGTTCCTACTTTTAATTGAATTGCCTTTCATTGTTCTAAGACTTCATAATTCGGTCAAAACCTTGCAACTGTAGGCACTTGGCAGTGGGATTAATTACTGTTGATGCAGTTGCTGAGTTTCAGCTTCTAAGTCTAGTATTTGCCGAATAATGTTTGAGCCCATCTTCTAACTATAGATTCATATCAGTAGTAATAGAGTTTTTGTAGTGGTTTTTATGTATAAGGCTACTTAGAGAGTTACTATACTTTCTAAAAGAAACCTTTGCAATTCTTGCAGCAACAAGCTTTAGAACTGGCATTGGATCGTGCAGAGGTAAGGAGTAGCTACATTGTTTGCTTGCACATAATATATTGGTCTCAGTTAAAAAATTACTATTGTACTTTTATATTTCTTCTGAAAGGTAGTAGAGGAGCATGTTACGTAAATGTGTGTGTATATAAATAATCACCCATACATGTTACACTGATTTTGCAAAATTCTCACTAAAATTGCAGTGTGACATATTTGCCTCTTACCCATTGTTCTGAGAACATCACCAGTTGCAATGATGATAGATTATGCAGGACTTCAATTTTCCCCTTTTAAACCAGCAAATCTGTGTGCTGGTACACAGAGCTGTATGTGGCACAATCAGAGCTGTACGGTGGTGGTCCAGAGAGAGCTGGCAGAAAAATATGGCTAAATCTGGTTTGTGTTTTTAAGGGTAGCCCAGTTAGAACAAAGAGGCAAGTGCCTTTGTGTTCATGTTCTTTCATGCTGACATCTGGTATAATGGTTACCTCGAACCCTGTTACGGGAAAAACACGTTTCTTCATTGAAATTCTGAACTAAAAAGTTAATCAAAATACTTTAGACAAACAATAGAGACTTGGAAAAACCTTGTTAGAATATAAGACACATTTAATGTGAGATAATATCTTTATTCTTTTGTTTTTAATGAATTCTATTTATAGTACACAGTTCTATAGAGAAAACTAGTGTAAATGCAAGAAAAAAGGGGAAAATTAAACTTCCTGAAGTTGGTTATGTTGGGGGGTACTTGACTTGTAAATAGTGTCGAGCCAGTACACATGAATTTAATTGTATTTTACCATGTTGAGTACATTAACTTCAGTAGCATTGACTAGTACAGTAGTGTTTATAACTACTACAGTAGTGTTTACTATTGTAATTACAAAACATGAATGTAAAAATCAAGACCTTGCTTTCAAGTCATGCCGTAGCCATGAAATTCTGTTTCACAGCTGAATTGAGTTATGTCCTTATTGATGACTGTAACATACATGTTTAGTACAGTTTTGAAACAGTCATGTACCATAAACATTAATTATTTTCTTTATCCATAGAACACTGTATGCTAATGATCTAAAGTTGCCTGGTAGCTAGAATTAAATTTCTTTGTGATATATATGTTATTTTTTGGTTGACTTCTCTTCTAGTACATCATTGAAAGTGCCCGTCAGAGACCTCCCAAAAGAAAATATTTATCGAGTGGAAGGTAGTAAGAGTTTCAGTATTTATCTTTTAAATATAATTTCTTTAATTTAATTTTGGTTACATTTTCATCTTTTTTTTTTTAATTTCAGAAAATCTGTATTTCAAAAACTCTATGATTTATATATAGAAGAATGTGAAAAAGAGCCTGAGATAAAGGTAAGTGGAAATTGCTGAGAAGCTTTTCATTGCTGTCTGAACAGACAAGTTCAGAAAATATTTTTTTTATTTCACCTAATTCCTTTGTTAAAAATAAATAAAATCTGGTTGCTGTAGGAGTGATCTAAGGCTAACACTATAGGAGAAACAATTGTTATGAATTTTATGGACTAAACTGTAATTTAATAGCATCATCTTAGTTCAGTTTGAAATAAAACCAAGGTGATGGTAACCCTAAATCTGATTTTGAAGGTAGAATGCTGGCAGAGGATTCTAAAGATTGTGCCCTTGAGACACTTTATATGAAAAGAGAGAATTTCAAAAGAATGGTCTAGAATGCAGAGGTGTATCTAACAAATTTATTGGATAACAGTGCTATTAAAATAACTGAGTGATATAATATGAATAGTAAGACCTAGACTGGCTTGAGCGACCTGTCTATTCTGACTTTATCCTGCGTCACTGCAGTCAGCTGTGGTCAACAACGCCACGTGCATTGTTGTCAGTATCACTCTTACAGAACCCATTGTCTAGCATGACTGCTCTGGGGAAAAAATGGGGAGAGTTTTTTAGAATGTGTGCTTTGTTTTAAATTCAGATTTGTTTTTTGGATAACTGATGAACTGCTAAGATGTTCTGTGAATTTTTTCCATAACATTAACAAAGAAGCTTAAACAGGTTTAGCAACAATAAATCCAAGGTGTAAAAGTCCCAAGTTACCTTGCTAAACTGTGAATATCAAATGGAATGAGAACAAGAAGTGTGGAATCTGCTGTACCGCTGCTTCCCAAGGAAATAAAAAACTACAATAAGACAAATGTGAACGAGATATTAGTTACTGAGCACCTGTAATTCTTTTTGGTGGTTCTGATGTAGTTGGTTTTATTTAGCATATGATGCTGATTCAAATCACAAACGTGAGTAAGGTGTTAAGCAAAATGCAGACTTGAAAAGATTAAAACATCAGTAGTGAATGAGTGACAAAATATTTGAGCAGCAGGGAGAAGATTGGGGTTGCTAGACTGAAATCTGGGGGGAAAACAAGGTAGGATTTCAATGCTGTAGTTGCTAAATTAGAAGGCACTTACTTGGCAAACTTACCCAACTGTAATAAAATTTAAGTAGTGAAGAGAGTTATCACAGTAGATGAAGTAGATTATTTCTGATCTAGATTTGAGTAAGAATTTAAGTTCTTTGTTGAAGAATTGGAAGCTTATTATGATAGAAAAATTTGTATTTAGAGCCCCTATTAACTAAGCTAAGATGTGGATAGTTAATAGATATCTTGTTCTTATGTTATGGATTATAATTATTGAAAATGAGAAGCTCAAAGATCAAAGTGCAAAGGTTAGAAGATAATGCTATAGTGAAGCTTCATCCATGAGCATAGGGCTGCTTATTTGTCTCTTAATTTGCACAATAAAACTGAAGAAGGAAATAGTATTCTGACTCGAGTTTGACCAATTACTTGAATGTAGCTTAAAGGTTTTATTGTACAGAACTATGAAAGTTTCTATCCCAGTGTTGTGCAATTTTGATGGTACAAGTTGTAATTATGCTCAGAAGCAATTTTTAAATTGACAGTATTATTTTTCAGTCTTAACTTTCTCCCTTTATCTTAGCTCTTGTAATGCTGCATTTCTCCCATGTCCCTATTTTCTACCCTGCAGTTTACTTGGTCACTCATATCCTTTTTCTTGGAGTTCATGGGGAAGACCAGATTTTCCATGATAATTCACAAGGGACTAATTAATTATTAATTCTCTAGTAGTCCAGTCTGCCCAGCTTCATTACTTCTCAGCGTCTCTTCTATTTGTACATATGCACACTAGAGAGAGAACTAACTATGCTGAGATGATTATCTAGAGCAATTTGCTTCATTTGGACACTAGTGTGCAGTGTTCCTGTACCTAAAAGTTGAAAGAAATAAAAATCTTAACAATGGTTTTGAAAACAGTCTTAAATACAAACACAGAAACAGACCTGGGCTGGAAGGATCTATACTCGGCAGGTAAATCTGAGGGGCTCCACTACCAGCAAAAAATGCTAAAAAATAAAAAAAAAATCACAGATCAGTCTGGTATTCTCAATTGGTGCCCTCTGACAGCTGCACATGGTAGCATCAGTGTGCAAGTTTAAGGAACAGAGGCCTTCCATAAAAATAAATCTCATGGCTATTTCATGCATAGACAGATTTCTAGGGAAAAAGGTGAACTGCTTACTTAGAAATTCTATGAGTGGTTACTAGTTAGTATAAATTAGTCAGTGCCTGTATTTTGGATGGAATAATGCCCTTTATTGAATGATCCGTTTTCTTCAGCTCATGAAAAGAGTGAAGTTCAGTTAAAAACTTTAACAATATTATTAGTAACAACTTCTAGAAGCAGTATTAATTCTGTGCCAATGATAGAGGAATCGAACTGGGTTTTTTGATTGCTTCCTTTCTTAAATATAACTTTAGTATAAGTAATTAATTTCTTCTTAACCTCTCTCATGTAACCCGATGATCCTTTTTCAAATCAACTCTTACAGAATTGTCATGTTCCTTTCTGTCCTCCTAATGCCATTGCATAACTAAATATCAAAGTATTAATCTATCCAACAGTGAGAAAGAACTTTTCTATCAAAAGATGACAATATCTCAGTTCTTAAGAGAAAATACATCAGAGTTTGAGCGTTGACTTTGCTCTTCGATGAAAATTACTGTACCCCAGGCTGCTTCATACTAAGTGAAAGCCCCATAGCTTTATCCTCTACTCAGCAACATGTCTGATAATTGAAGTAGTGCATGTGCAGTGTCTTATTCTGGGGTACATATAGTGGGTTGTTAACAGGAGTTTTAACTGCAAAACGTTTTGCGTAATGGGCTGTATCACCAGAGTCCTATGTGAGGAACTGGATTTCCTGAGTAGTCTCTACTTACACAGTTGCCATGACACGTTGTCCTCATTCTTCCCTGCTCTACTGCTTCCCAGTACCTCTAGAAAGATACATTGTTCAAAAAGAAATAGCCCACTGCTACTTAGTTGGATGTATGTGAGATGAGTTGGTAACTTCCAGTGAATGGTTCCATCCAGACCTGTTATTCAGCTATGAAATCTACCCTCCAACCACAAGGTGTAAAATTATCTGCCATTTAGAATTCATTGTTTTAAGTTCTCGGAGGGGGGGTGGGGTGTGTCTTTTAAAATTTTTAAATTTGTAGGATGTACATGGGGTCTTTGAAACATACTAATTAATTTCAAAAATCTGTTATTGTGGGAGAGATCATTACAGTTAAAAAAGGGAATAGTGTCTGCAGCTGCTGCATCAGATATCAGCAAATACAGATAAGGCAATGCAATTAAGAAAGCTTTCAAATGCTGTAATTCAATATTTTAATCCTGGAAAGAAGTGCATGCTTCTGTTAAAGTACTAAATATTTTGTTGCTATCGAACAATGTACAGTGTATAACTGATGGTGTAAATGGTGCTTCTAGAAATGATACAAATAATAGTGCGCTGTAGTTTTACAACATTGTAACATAGGGTCATTCTTGTTAACTGTGTTGCCTGTGGACTTATAATTCAAGAATTGTTTTTTTAATTTAAATGAGTGTGTTGGTTTTTTAAAAAAATCCCTATGTATAATCATACATAATGAATATACTCTGCTGAATACAGCCCAATTAAATTTAACTGCACTTGTTTAGTTGTATGCTTCAACATTAATCTAAATAGTACCTGTATTCTAGCAATTGTTTTTATTGCTACTGATTACTTGATAGTATCATGTTCATAAGCAATGTTTACTTTTAAAGCAGAAGCTGAGGCGAAATGTGAATTTACTTGAGAAGCTGGTTATGCAGGAGACGTTGTCATGTCTGGTAGTGAACCTCTATCCGGGAAATGAGGGTTATTCACTTATGCTCAGGGGAAAAAATGGTTCAGGTAATATTTTTGCTATTTATTTTTAAAAATACTCCATAATGGTATATAAATAGTCGCAATGTACTGTTATTTACTTTTAACTGTTTCACTTCTAACATAATCCCTTGTGGAAAAAAACACAACTGTATTTGAATTAAAAATTTTCATAGAGCTGTGAGGTGCTCAGAAAGGGTCTCTAATGGTGCAGCGTAAATCAGTAGATCTGAGTCTTTTTGATAGCCTTCCATTCTTTTGCTTTCTGTTAGCTTCCTGAGCTGCTTATCTGAGTTTTTCTTGCTTCAGGCTCCTTCTGTCATATTGTTTCTTTCGCTGCTTCCTAGATCTAGGTCTGACTAAATGCTAGTTGAAGGTGTCCCTGCTCATTGCAGGGGGTTAGACTAGATGGCCTTTAAAGGTCCCTTTCAACCCAAACTATTCTATGATAAATGCACCCGTGTTCCAGTTAAGTTGCATCTTCATGCCACGGGTACTATGACATGCCATAAGAGCATGCAGTACATCAGCTGGGAGCAAAAATTCTCTCCCATTGAGCTAGAAAGGCATGTTGCCCTTTGGCAAAATAAGAGCAAAATCAAGCTCTGGGAACACAAATAGATGTAAGAAAAATAATACTAGGCAAAAAAAATTGCCTGTTTGGATGGGTTTCCACAGGTACTGCTTTTTTTCCTGTGCAAGCTTGTTTTATATTTCACATTGTTAAAGTTTGAATTTGAGAGGCAAAAGAAAATCAGTATGTTTTGTTTAAATTCAGATTCTGAGACCATTCGGCTGCCTTATGAGGAAGGAGAGCTGCTTGAATATTTGGATGCAGAGGAGCTACCGCCTATTTTGGTTGATCTTTTAGAAAAATCTCAGGTTTGAAAGTCTTCTTTTCAAAAATAACTTATGTTTTATACCTAGGTAAACCTTGATTATTTTTTTTTTTTTAATGCTTCACATCAGTCATTCCAACAATAAGATGTAAAACACTTGTGTGTTTGGAGAGGTAATATTTAATACTGCAAATAAATATTTTATTGATATATAGGAAAAAAAATAACAAATGGTGGGGAGAGAGGTATAGAGGAGAGATTGCTGTGGTTAAGGCTGCCAGACAACTTCAGCTCTGTGCTCTAGCAAAATATCCTTTGTTCTTTATCATAAAATATTTGACATGGGAATTTCTTAAAACTACATTGCTGGCTTATGAAAACAGTGCATTTGGAGATGTATGTAGTAAAGACCACTGGTCTGACAATATCAGTGATTAGTTCTATTCATAGGATCACTGAATATTATATGATATATAAGAAACTCTTTGGAGGCAGGAGCTACGGCAGATCGGTAAATAGTTGTTTATTTACCAGGGTTTTTCTTGTTTCAACTAGGTTAATATTTTTCATTGTGGATGTGTCATAGCAGAAATACGTGACTATAGGCAGTCTGGTAACATGAAATCTCCAACGTACCAAAGCAAGCACATTCTTTTGCGTCCTACAATGCAGGTAAGAAGTGTTTCTAAGTCATTCCTCGCTGTTAGGGTAGTTCCTAGACTGGATATGAGCTATTGCTGAACATACGTTAAGAAATCTTATTATTTAGTTGAAAGCTAATTGCTATTATCTTCTTCCTCAGACTTTAATTTGTGATGTGCATTCTATAACAAGTGACAACCACAAATGGACGCAGGTGGGTTAGCAGTTATTTTAGAACTTTACGGTGATGTGGTAAATACACAATAAAATAAAATTTATTTAAATTATTTATTTGTGTAATAAAATCTGATGAACAAAGCTTACTATGTTTTTGATTAATTCAAACTGTCAGTGATGTGCATAGTGCTGCATGGGGCATGCTCCAGAGACCTTCTTAATAGCATCTCCCCATAAGATGCTGTAGAAAACGATAGGATTTGCTAAAAGTTTTGTAGAACCAGACCTTAATTTTTGGTAATGCAGAATGACAGTATTGGAGTTACTCTATCTGGTTTACCTTACTTTGTTCAACTTCAACATACATCCCCAGAACAGCTGCTGGAGTCTAATGGCACAGTTGCTCCTCTTGCATCATTTTACTGTTGATACTGTTACAATAAAGATAATCCTAAGTAACTACGGTTGTGCAGTTATAGTTAGTTAAATGCTGAATAGCAGGGTGTACTCAACGTCTTTGTTTGTATTTCATGCTCAAATCCTTTTCAAACTGTAATCTAAAGTCCCAGGTAGATCATCTTTATGGCACTGGTTGCCAGTCCATCAGTATAAATAACTGACACAAAACGCATTTCATTGCCACTAGTACTCTATTTAGAACAAATAAAGAAGACACAAACACACAAATAAAAAGAACATGCCCTCTACTTTTCAGGATTTATTTTCCTATTTGAAACTCCACCCAAAGCTCTAAGTAATGCTTAGTGATACTGTTGAATATTTTCTTTTGTTGACTGTTCACACACAATTTTTTCAGTTTTCTTTAAGATAACGTGCACATATCCATAGGTATATGTCAACTTAATTAGTGTAAAAGTAGTTATATTTTTACACTTATTAATAGCTGTGTATATTACAGGAGGACAAACTCCTACTTGAGAGCCAACTTATTTTGGCTACAGCAGAGCCTTTGTGTCTTGATCCTTCAATAGCAGTGACCTGTACTACAAACAGACTCCTGTACAACAAGCAGAAGATGAACACTCGCCCCATGAAACGGTAGTTTTCAGTGTGAAGCGTGTTGAGACTTTCTTTGGAATTTTATGAAGTGTTTTAAAGAAAAGTATAAGCAGTACTTTACATGAAAATTGTGCTTTTCATATGCAGTCCTCAGAGTAATATCTACTTAAATATTAGGAATATGAGGAACAGTGAAGAAATTATATCTTAATTTTAAGTGCTCGATATTATACTACATTTCAGTTAGCAGTAGATACTGTAATATGCGTATTTTTACATATCAAAAGTGTGTATATATATTATTTTCTTAATGAGTTATTGCAGTTTTGATTTTGGTTTTTTTTATAATTCAGGTGTAAGCAGAGTCAGGTGGCAGCTAAGTAATATTAAAAAAAATATCCAAGTGGGTATCCTGCATGTTGGACTCTGATGTGTTAAAAGTTATGTATGAGTTTAACCCTGAATGAGGAAATCAAGGGAATCACTTGTATGCTTGACACTTAGGCATATTAGAATAATAGAAAATTTAAAACTAATGTGAAATGCACAGATAGAGAATATTGAAATTATTTATCTTTTGGGCATCGTTCTTCACTTTTTTTCCACAAAAGCTTGAAATGATTCACGTTTGCTCTGCTAAAAGGGTTGCATTCACTCTGTAGAATGACAATGTACTAATGGCCTCTCAAAATTACTAAAATATTTAAAACTAGATTTGCATTGAAATGCTATGCTAGCATACAACCAATCTAAAAAAGTTTAAATGGTGAAATTGATCAAGCTGTGCTTAAAGTTAGAGCTTGGTGGTCTACAAACTTTCCAGTAGAAAAACATGCAAAGGTGTTCAATGAAATGTCCAGAAGAGCATTAATCTACCAATGGGTTTGGCATGAGACAAAGAATGGAGAGTAGTTAATATGTTTATAAATTTATAGTTACATAAGCAGAACACAGATCTTTTGACAGAACTGAAATCAATGATAATAATTTTTTTTAGCTTGGCAGCTTTTCAGTTACTCATTTTGACCATGTACTTCAATTACGCATTTCCAAAATAATCCCATTCATAGTGCTGAAACACATGAACAGAATATTAGGATTTTTAAAAAATACAAAATCAAGAGTTTAAGTGTAATCCAGAAGAGCAATTTTGAATTACTATTTCAAAACCTGACTTCTAGTCTCAATGTGAGTAGCATTTCCCTGCGTACTTTTGTGTTTGTACACAGGCAGTGGGGAATTTCATTTTGATGGTTTTACAAGCTTATGTGTTATTTTACCATAGGTGCTTCAAAAGGTACTCAAGGTCATCTCTGAACAGACAGCAGGAAGTAGCTCACTATTCAACTCCACCTCAGCTCAGACTACTTGACTACTTACAGAAAAGAAAGGAGAGGAAAGGAGCCCAGCAGTATGACCTCAAAATTTCTAAAGCTGGAAATGTAAGTGTTCTGAGACATAGGTGGATATACTTCTAACTACTTATTTAAAACATTTAATACATTAATTCCACTCTTTCATCTTGCAGTGCGTAGATATGTGGAAACAGAACCCGTGCTATTTGACTGCACCTTCTGAAGTGGATGTAAGTCCAGTTGTTACCATTAGCAATTATTAGCAATTGTATTGAATGTTGTATTGTATGAAGAAGTGACTAAAGAGGATCTAGTATCAAAGAATGACCTTTAAAAAGTGGGAGTGACTTTAATGTTCAAAAAGAGTTTTCTGTACTGTAAGGTATAAACAGAAGCTAAACCCCATTGGGAATACATTGCAATTGTAACATGATAGGTTGAATGAGATAGTGCAAACAGACCTTTAATATTTTTCATTTGTGTGTTCAGTGCACTCATGTCTATTTTAAGATGTCTGATAATACAAAAAAATAGAAAAAGAGATGAAGTAAGGAAATTATTTAAAAATTAGTCACTTCTCAGCTTGGTAGCAATTCCTCTTTTTTGAGGAAAAAAAGTTATGATACTATGGGAAATAATATTTTCAATAGTTTAATGGGTTTTTTTATATGAGAGTTCTAGTTAGGAGTTCTTCCAGTCACTCTGTGTGCATTCTTCTTTCAGGGACTCTTCATATTCTTGGTTTCTGACACTGCCAAAGCACATACTGCTAGCATAGAGAAGGGACTCAGTAGACTAGACGAGATTGTAGCTTTGGACTTAATAGGGCTGGCCAGAGTGTACGTTGCACATGAAATGATGCTGTAAGTTTGTACAATCCTTCTTTCCCTTTGCACTTCAACAGTGTTGTACCTGACCTAATCAGAGTCTTTAGGAGTTACTGGTGGTGTGAAATTTCTTAACCATTCCACATTGCAGGCAGTGATTTCAATCTGTATTCTTAAGCAATGTTTCACACTTTTGTTAAGTTTAACATAGGAAATACGGTGTAACAGAATAAATTTATAGTAAAATTCTGAAGGTTCTCCGCTTTTTCTGAATGCATAAGACAAAAGGGGGATGCTGTAGGGGGTATCAAGTTATGTCTGTTTCTTGCGCTCACTTTTAAACACTGTCATGTTAGGCACTGTTAAAAACAAGAAGCTGTGCTAGATTGGCTTCAACTCTGGCCCGATTTGGCTATTGTTCTTTTTCTTCTGATATCTCAATTTTCTTTAAGGTGGAAAAATATGCCAAAGTGGAGAAGTCTATCAAGCCTGATGACTCACAACCAACTGTCTGGCCAGCCCATGTGAGTAGTTTAGACCTTTGGCCAAACTTCTTTGTCTATAGTTAAAATGCCTCTTATTTCAACAAAATCTAAGTAATGTGAGAATACTCTTCCCTCCCCCAATGTAATTAATCTTCCATGTGTTTTATAGACACAGAAAGATTACCACAGATACTTCTCGTTTTATACTGTGTAAAATGCATGTGATCAGTCTTGTAGTTTCCTCGGGTTTTCCAGAAATGCAAGGAAAATCACCTTTAATCTCCTGAGTAACACGTGCTGTGGCTATATAGTAAGGGAATCGTAGTAAGTTATGGAGAGCAGTACTGTGTTCAACCAGTTGCTTTCTTCACTCAAATACTCAAAGATTGATGGAGAAGAACTTCTGTTAAAATATTAAATTTGGAAAGAGATGAAGTAATATTAAGTAACTCTTACAAAAACCTCTTTCTGCAGTGTTTAAGTTGAACCTTGAGATTTTTGGCACAAATTACATGATTTGATAAGTAGTCCTTGATATAATTAGCCATAAATCAATTCGTAATGTCTTTCCTGTGAAATTACAAAGAATTAATCTTTATTAATGGTATCTATCACAATGTCTTTGTAATTTCATATTAGCAAAAAGTAATACTTTCCCATAGAACTTCATCTCCAGCTTTTTAGTTGGAACACTTGTTTGCATTGTCATAATTTATATAAAACTTTCTATGCACATTTATGCAGTCTGCCTTTCCATATCTAACACGATTATTTTGGCTTTGCAATATTTTTGTATTTTTTAGAGACTGTAAACTCTTCTTCTCATCCCTTTAGAGAACTACTTCTCAAATCACTTTCAATTTAGATAATGCACCTATTCTTATAGTGTTTCTTACTTTATTGTATGGAACTGGTATATTTTACTAGCTGTTTCTTGTTTAAGACTTATTTGGTTATTTTCTTCTGCCTTTTTAGGAAATAAAAGATGATTATGTGTTTGAATGTGAAGTTGGTAATCAGCTTCAGAAAACAAAACTGACCATTTTTCAGTCTCTTGGCAATCCCTTGTATTATGGTAAAATTCAGACACTCAAAGGTGATGAGGAAAATGACAACCTGTTAACTCCATCACAGTAAGTTGTGTGTTCATTTGAACTGTGCTGTGGTCTGACAGGTGAACGAAGGCAAACATTACTTAGCATTTTCAGTCATAAAAACACTCTAGAGCTAGAAATCTGATGGAAGAGTTTTGCTTGAAAAATTCAGCTAATGAACCTAAAATTTTTTAGCCAAAAACAAACCAAGACAAAATGTGTTCAAACAACCATTATGTCTTAAATGTACTGTTACGTTAAATCCAAATGTTCTTTTTCATTAAAGATATATTGTATTTTAAAAAACAAAAACAAAGCGCAAAACCCTAACAGCTCAAATTGTGGAGACACCATGAGACATTTTTAGCACTGTTTTTCAGTGTTACTCATAGTTTTGGCTGTTGTCAAAATTTGCCTGATACTTTGAAAACATAAGACTTCATTATATTGTGTTTACTCTTATTCAAATAAATTTAGGCTAAATAAGTGATGAAGAAAAACATGAGCTCCTAAAAAGCTTTGTAACTTTGAATTTGAATCTGCTGTTGTCTGTGGTTCTACAAAGGTTCTCTCTTCTTGGCTCTTTTTGTTGTGTACCAGATTCCTGAGAATCTGTGCAGCAGGGTAGACCCTATAAATTTCAGTAAGGCAAGGAACAGTGAGTCTGAGCCAACTTTAGTTCTGTTAGTGGAAGTTATTTTTGTTGTCTAGTATATAACTCCTATCATATTTTTTATTAAAAATCATAAAGTCTTCTTAATAGGATGTGTTATCCCTGGTCTGAGCTATTTACTGTTTGTTTCCATGCTGTCCTAGTTTAACTCCAGTGGGCAGCTGAGCACCACACAGCCACTCATTTATTCCACACCCCCTCCTCCAGCCCCTCTGGTGGGATGGGGAAGAGAATTGGAGGGGTAAAAGTGAGAAAACTCATGGGTTGAGGTAAAGACAGTTTAATAGGTAAAGCAAAAGCTGTGCACACAAGGAAAACAAAAAAAAAGGGAATTAATTCTCTACTTCCCATGGTCAGGCAGGCACTCAGCCATCTCCAGGGAAGCAGGGCTCCATCACCATAACGGTTACTTGAGAAGACAAATGCTATTACTCAGAACATCCCCCCTTCTTCCTTCCTCCCCCAGCTTTTTATCACTCAGCATGACGTGGTATGGAATATCCCTTTGGTCATTTGGGGTCAGCTCTCCTGGCTGTGTCCCCTCCCAACTTTTGTGCACCCCCAGCCTGCTCATTGATGGGGTAGGGTGAGAAGCAGAGAAGCACTGCTCAGCAGTAACAAAAAACATCCCAGTATTATCAACACTGTTTCCAGCAAAAATCTGTGTTTCAGCAGTTTCCAGCACAATCTTTGACATACCCACAAGACACTTAGGCTTATATTTCAGTGTAAGTGTATCGATATGGTGATTTATACGTAACTTTTCTCTTGTCCTTTTTATAGTAGCAATTCTGGAGCACTTACTCCCATTTTTTAAAAAATATAAAACTTCCATATTCTGTATTTTGCTTTGTAGGCAATTTACCCTAAAAGGAGGCCATATTAGACCAAGTGTGTATATTGCCTATACAGTTAAGAAGCCAAGTTTGTATTTCAAGTACTAAATAATACTGGATACAGTATCGTATTTTCAGCAGGTCTGAACAAAGAGCAGCATTGACACTCACTTGAAGTTTTGTGATTATAAAAATATATTCTTTTAGTCCAATTCATGACTGAAAATGTATTATACATTTTATATTTCAGGTTCCTTATTGGTTCGAAGACTGATGCTGAAAGGTAAATTAATGTAGTATATAAAACATTTGACTTGGTGCCAATTAATAAATTTTGTTCTTTTTAGCTATTAGAACTGTTAATGTTGTGGTTATGGAAACAGATGCAGAACAGATGAGGAAAACAGGAGGAATCATAAATAATAATAAAATTCTGAGAGCACTTAGCAAGAATTTCATCTTGACATTCTGTACGGTAAATTAGCAAGTGTGGGAATTGTTCATTTGAACTTTAAGTGTAATCTAGGACTTGTATATCTACAATTTATTTTTGTGTCGTGTGCATTACTTGTTTCTCTAGGAAAGCTGAATCAAGTAACAAAACAGTTTTCCAGAATATATTAGTTGTAAAATGATTATGGGTGGCAATTCTGGGATAGGTAACTGAGGCAGCAAAATAAGTATTTCTTCAAATGTTTGTCAGGGTGCATTACATTACAGATACCTGTGTTTCTTTGTGCATATGAGCACAGAACCTTTAAAAAGCAATCTCTGCCAAAGTCAGTTGTGGTTTTGTGTCTGCATAGGAGACCTCGAGGTGATGTACATGCTATAGCTCTTCCCCCCACACCCTCACCCTCTGATGTGCTTAGCAGGGGGACGAGTCCTTGATTTGGTCAAAAATTGACAATAATGTTCTTTATTTTAATAAATAATTTTCAGCAGGAAACTCTTTGCTTATATTCTGTCCTGGTAGACTTTTGCTGTTTGTGCTGAGTTGGGAGCCTGGTTGGCTGAAAACTAGAACAATAATACAGGGGTGTAGTTTTAACTGGGGTTGTTCTTACTGGGTTGCCACGGGGTTGCTCAAATCTTTCAATCAGAATAAGCAGTTGGATTTCAGGGATTAGGACAAGAAAAGCAGTAGAAGAGAAAGGAGGGCAGGACCACCTTTTTGAGTATGCAGCATTTTATTATTCTGTTTCCAATGTAATTTTAAGACAGTCTGAAACCTAATTGCTGAAATAAGTACATTGTGCCCTTTCCTCTGCTGTGTATCTTGGGGCCCATGCTTGTGTCTGCATTAGTCATATAGCAGCATATTGAATCAGTGCTGTACCAAAATAAAGCGTAGCTCATCACATTTAGGTGTAAGCTAATGGAAATATTCCAGCAGTTTTTTATTGAGGTTCAGTCTTTTAGAGTATAAGCAACAATGTGTCTTCAGCTTGATTTTCCAAGTCTGCAAGGTCACTGTATATTCTGCTTGTGTTTGTGAAACAGTATTCCCTCATCTTAGTTTTTTCCAATTAGTGATGGCGTAGTATTTGTTTTGGTAGAAAGGTATTTTAAACTTGTTTGCCTGATGCTATTGATCCTTTAAATTCCTGGGCACATCACTGTGGCACATCATATAAGACCTGTTGTTGTGGTTTTTTTCCTCAAACCAGGACACCTGTCTGTCCTGATGCTCAAAGAAGAGTGATCACTTTTGATGTGGTAACTGTTTCTTGGACTTACATTCGGTATGGACCTCTTAGTTCATGCCTTGCTTTGAGTCCTCATCTGACGTAGATCTCAGGTTAAAGGAGAAGTTCCAAGGGGAGCATAAGCAGAGGACACAGCTTTATAAAAGATTCAGAACCCCTGTGGGGGGAATGGGACCCCCATTGACTCACATCCTGAAGAACGGCAGTTGCTTTTGGGAAGGGAACTGTTTTGTCTACTGCTTGGCATATTCCTCCTAAAGAGTGTTTCTTAAACTTGTTTCTTAAGCAGACTGTATTTTGCATTTGAAAAAAAGACAGTGATTAAAAGAAAAGTTAAAATGGAATAAATTTAAGAAAAGAGCCCAGGAACATAAAGAGATATATAGAGATATAGGTGTGTTTTATGGAAGTGCATCTCTTATTTTATATAGATATATGTATACATAATGTATACTTATAAAACAAATATTTTATGACTATGGAACATATACAATTATGTGTTAAAATATATGTATCTACACTAGAAGTTCAAAGTTGTTAATCTTTTTATGCCCTCATTGTTTGTTTCAGAGTGGTGAACCAGTATCAGGAGTTAGTACAAAGTGAAGCTAAATGTCCTGTGAAAATGTTTCATAATTCAGGTGGATCAGTCAACCTTAGTCATCTTTCTCCAGGGAAGGAAATGGAAGTGAGTTTATCGAGCCATATGTTTCTTTTATTTGTGCTTGATTATTGAATTATTAGAATAAGTTTCTTCTATCCACATTTAAAAGTAAAATAACCTAAAAAGTTCATTTCAAATGAATTTTTAAATGCTTTATTGTCATAATCATTCAGAGTATATGGGAAAAGTTAAAGTACTTTTGTTTTCACTGTTCAAATGTTGTGTCTTTTAGCCATGTCTTTTGGTTTTTTTAGCCACTTATAGTATAGTTAGGTTCAAGGTTTTGTAGCATTTTCGTCTGTTCAGATGAACCTTTCCCAGAGCAGTATAATAAAATGCAGCTATGCGTTTTATTTTACAGGTCAGTAGACACAGAAACAGATGTAGTAGCTGAACTTTTTTCTTTTTATCTTCAGAAATTATTTAAATTATTTTCTCTTTAATCTGTTGATGAAAAATTAAAAGCAAACAAAATCAACAACAAAGAAAAACCCAAGCAACACCAAAATTTTTAAAGCACATATGTTTGCACGCTCACATCCAGTAGAAATTCCTGCATTCCCAAATTCTCATGCCTGTTGGCATTGCCTTGTGTGTTACTTGTGTCTTCTGGCTTGCTTGGTCAGATTCAGTACTCTAATGGTTAATGGTATTTGGGCTTCAACCAGTATCTGTTGAGCTTTGCTGCATCTTTCCCCTCAACACCTATTTTTAAACTGCAACAAGGTTGCTCTAAAAGAGGTATTTCTTGGTGGCAGCCAGAAGGGTGGGTGAAACAAAGGCCAGCAGTTGAAAGGAGGGGGTGCTTCTGTATGTGTGTAAACATATATGCACACAGATATATATGCATGCGTGTGTGTATATATATTGACTTCAGGTCAGTCTGCTTCTTTATGTTGACTATATCTATATTCTATCATCATCTATTTTATGTCGACTATATCTATTTTATGTTGACCTTATGTCTTCTGTTGACTATTTTATATCTATTTCATATCTTTTTTACGTCTGTCTGTCGATTTTGTCACATCTCTCTATCTCTTTTATATCTGTTTGCTATCCTCTGTCAATCATCTGCTTTATATCTATGTTAAAATCATGGTAACTTAGGGTGGGAGGATACTTCTGGAAGTTGTCTTCTCCAGCTCTCCAGGCCCTCAACAAATGCTGGACCAAAATTACTCAGGTTACTCTACCTAATGATCTAGTCCTCTTTTGAATGGGGCATTAGTCTTTAGTTTCAAAATGAAGAAAACAGGTTTTCATAGTAAAAGAGAGAGGTAATCCTCAGATTTTTCCTCAGAAGATTCTTTTTTATGAGCAAGCAATTAGAAACGTGTAGGAGGAGTGTCTCTTATTTCTGAGAATCGGTGGAAGCAAAGCTATCTAAAAAGGTTGATTCTGCACAGTGCTGGATTTGTTAGCTCAAGCACATCTCATTTAGTCTCCAGCACTGAAATATTCCATTCAGTATATCGAGAGCCTCATTTTTTTCTAGTTGCAGCAGGCTTTTAACTGTATGTTTGTTTAGACACTACTTTCATTTATGGGATACCTGCTTTACTGTAGAGTTTTTTTGACTGTGTCAGCTATTGGAATTACAGATTTAGGGTCTGCTGTGAGTGAGAGCTACAGACTTGATTAGCTGAAGTTAATTTCTATTCAAACAACCTGATAAGCAGGCTATAAGAACAAACAGCAAGGGAGCACCTTTCTGTTAAAAAGATCAGTGAAGTCCTGATCCCACTGATTTTCCTGAATTCTTACTCCTACAGTCGGGAAATCTGATCCTACTCTCTAAATCCTTATTGGTTGGAAATAGCAGATTTATACAGATGGTGAATGAATGAAATGATGTAATTTTTCAAGTAAGACCAAATTGTCTTTTTATTTAAAATGCATCTGTCACTCTTGCATTTGTGAAAAGTCACTAAGAAGGATTTCAGAATTACAGAGAAAAGTAAAAGGCTTTACATTTTTTTTTTTGTTTAAATTTTACCAGCACTTTCAATCTGCTTCTTGATGGTAAGCTTTTTATCTAAAGAGAGTTGGTCATAAGCTATGTTTTTAAAATAAATAAAAATCTGACATGTTTGAAGGGAATTTTGTCATGGTTTTGCGAAGTCTAACAGAAATTAATTGAATTGTCTTTTCTGTCAAATATGTGGAAGCTCACATTGTTGCTGTGGTAGTGTTAATTTCTCTTTCCTCCTAGCAGCCAGAAAGTATATCAGGCTCTGTTCAGTCTTCAGTATTGGGGAAAGGTGTAAAACACCGACCTCCTCCCATCAAATTACCTTCAAGTTCAGGAAGTAGCTCTTCAGGTAATTATTTATTGACTTGGGCATCTCCTTTCTATGTGTTCTGCCTATTGTAACGTGACATGATATAATACCCTTAGAAATTATTTCATTAAAAAAAACCCAACGATGTCTTCTCTGTGGAAAGAGCATAATTTTGTTGATTTCTGATTATATAGTTCACAAAATTGGTTTCTAAGAAATATTCATGTTAACGTGTACTCAGAGAACACTAATGTATTCTAATTATGCTTTTTCAGGTAATATTTTTAGTCCACAACAGTCAAGTGGCCATCTAAAATCCCCAACTCCTCCTCCTCCATCTTCTAAGCCTCCTGGTCTTTCTCGGAAACAATCTATGGATCTTAATCAAGTTAGCATGCTCTCCCCAGCTGCCATGTCTCCTGCCAGCTCTTCACAAAGTGAGTCACGACCTAAATTCTCCATTAAATCTTAGGCTTTTGCATAAATGCTTCCCGAGATAAACTTCTTAACCTGTGGAATGATGAAACTTATGTGTACAGTGTACCCTAAATTGTATAAGTTGTGCAGCTTTAGGCAGGTCTCTTGTTCACTGTATGTATTTTATGTTTATTGTAACTGTGTTCGTTTTTTCTGTATATATGTATGCACCCTCTGTGTATACGTTTTAATACATTTTATGCAATTAGTATGATCTCATTTATGAAAGGCTGGTAGATGATGTGATGAGATAAAATTCCAAAGTGTAGATTTTTTTTTTTTTCCTCCGGTGTAAAAACAGTATGTTAGATCAGTTTGCCTTTACGTAATTTAAACAACTGGTTTTTTTAAATGTTATAGGAGCTGGTGCAGTTGTATCTCTATGTATGTATATAATCTGATCAGTCCCGAGGTGGTGAATACAATAAACGATAAGATGATTTTTTAAAACACTCCTACACTGTTTACAAATCATTGCTGATTGCAAGTGTGGTGGTGATGCTGCTGATGATAGCACCATATTCTCAGGTGTTAAAATGTAAATTTCAATAATAAGTGACATCCTAATTTAAGTATTTTCATTAACACTGACATTGTAATTGTAGCTATAGATCATAAACATTTTTTAAAATATGTATGCGTCTTGAGACCTTTCGTGACCAGATTTGTTCAAAGAGAAATCATAGCTGCAGTTTTTCAATTTTTTTTATGAATAATTGTATACTGCACATTCCAGTATCCCGCACAGTATTTTAATATGCATTTTGCATTAAATAATTTAAAATCTGGATAGCTCGAGAGGTGTAACTTTTCTGCCTTCTTGTTGTGCACAAAGAAAAAAAGAAAACTTAGACAAGTTTTCTTCTAACATATTTACTCTGTCTTTATGTTAGTGCTATCAGTTGTGTAAATCTGCTGCACGCAGTTGTTACTTTAAGGCTCTGATCACAACAGCTGGACATTCACATCTATTTCCTTTCTTTCTGCAGGACATGAAAGCTAAAAAAAAAAAAAGAAAAACAAAAAATGACCTCAAGCTTTTTGGGGTTCTTGTTTTGTTTTTCTGTTGATAGACTGTGCTTACTGCATCCACAACAAGTATAGCTATACATGCTACATTTAAGCAGAAGGAATTACACAGTAACTCTTAAAGATGCAGTATTATCCTCTGGTTCTTAAAAAATAAATAAATTATTTGAGAGAACCTCTTATTTGTCAAATCTTGATATCTGATGAAATTTATCAATCCCATGATTATTGAAACAGTGTATGTTCTTCGTTGAATCTGTTGTTTTCCATGATATGTTTTTAACACGATGCTATTGCGCAGACAGTGCATATAGACTATATGTTTAACATTTTAGAACAAAAACATTAATTAGGTTAAAATGGTCACTAAGAAATTGTTTTATTTTATTTTAAGTACTTCTGAATGGAGTTACGACTTAATGTATGATAAATTATGGAAGGACTTAATGGAGAATACAAATCGGTGTATGGCTTAAGGAATTAAGCACGGAGAATGGGTTTTCTGTGTGATTATACTGCATCCTTAACAATGAGTGCGTGCTGCAACACTCGTGTTGTGTAGAAATTAACACTTGCAGTCTAAAAAATGGAACAAATTATCAGTGCTAAATAAGATTCCATTAACCTTATTATACGAAAAAGGACTGGCCTTTTATAACAAACTAGCACTCTTTATTTTTCTCAATGAGCAGGGTCTGGAACTCCTAAACCATCTACTCCTACTCCAACCAACACCCCTTCATCGACCCCACACCCTCCTGATGCTCAGAGCTCAACTCCTATTACCCCTTCTGCCACCCCTACTCCCCAAGATTCAGGCTTCACCCCTCAACCCACTTTGTTAACCCCATTTGCTCAGCAGCAAATGTCTCTGAGCCAGGCACTGCCTGTAATGACCATTCCTCTTTCCACCATGGTAACATCCATTACTACAGGAACAACCTCCACCCAGGTCATGGCAAACCCTGCAGGACTTAACTTCATCAATGTAGTGGGCTCTGTGTGGTAAGTTTTTTCTTCTTTGTTATGATGGTTTCTTAATTTGCCCTGGGTGGGTTGGTTACTGGGGCAGTGGGGAGGGTGGGAGCGGCACAGGACTCTCCAGCATCCATTAGGATAGATAGTTTTCAGGACCTGCAATCAATCCAAAAAGATTGTTCTCTTTAATTACAAAGAGAAGAGCCACTAGAAACTGTATTTCTCAAATATAAGGCACCTATTATCAGAACATTGAAAAGGTCTATTAAGAAAAATTTATTTTCAGCTTTTTGGATGCATATAATTGAATTTTATAAGACTTAACCTCTATTAAAGTGGTTTCTGAGGTTTTCCTGTTTAAGTTTGGAAACTTTTTTTATGAATCAGAGAAGTGGAATATCATATGCAGACCACTCTAAATGAAAATTAGAGATTAATATCGTGTCTATGAATGAAAGGTTGTATATAAAATACAAGAAAACAACAAATCTGGTTTTTAACAGTTAATTCAACCATTAAGGTTAAACATCCTTTGATCCTTAAAATTCATTTTGTCATTTAGAGAACAATAAATGCTGCCATCAAGAATAGATTGTGTGGTATAATGCAAGCTGCTTTTTAGACTACGTGAAATTCTGTGATCAATGTAAGATGGTCAGTGTAAGACACATAGTGTGCTTAAATACAAGTATTGGACACTTAAATTACTCATCCAAGGTGTTCAGCAATTGATCACTTTTGATTTAATTAGAGACAATTCTTCTTTTTATATAGTACAAAAAGAAAACTCAAACCTGTTCCTTGACTTTTTTGTTATGGCAGTACATCCATTTTGTTGATTTTCAGTATTTCTAGAATTGAAGAACCACTTGTGTTTTATTTTCCATAGATTATAACAAAGAAAAAAAAATCGTGTTTATGGAGACTATGGATTTACATATTTAGTTATACCCTAGGCATAATGATTTTTTAAGCTGCTTTGATGCTTTGTCCGTAATCCCATTCACAGCAAAAAATCGATTCACTTGTTGTGAGATAGAGGGCAAAAATTTAGTTAAGCAGATTTGCTTGTACCACTTGGGCTTGATGTCTTGTCTTTCCTCTTCTACAGTGGAGCACAGTCACTGATGAGTGGTTCAAACCCTATGTTGGGGTGCAACACTGGTGCCATAGCCCCTGCGGGTATAAACCTGAGTGGCATTTTACCATCAGGAGGCCTGGTACCAAGTGCGCTGCCCGCTGCAATGCAGTCTGCCTCTCAAGCAGGTCAGTGTGAACGAGTTGGAAAGCCACCCTTCACATAGGGACAGTGTGAGAGCATGTTGTAGAAACAGTGGATGAAAGCGGCCATTGTGTGCCTAGATTGTGTATTGGATGGCTGGAGGTGGGGAACAACCTACATATTTTGGCAAAGTGTAGGCTATTTTTTGAAATTGATTTTGGGAAGTAGACTTGGGGAAACATACTCTAAACCGGATTGTTTGGTATGCTTAGAGGAAGTTTGATAGAGACTCCAAATTCAAATGCAACATTGATAATGATGGTTGCCAGAAAAAAGGCATGACTGAACTTAGAAAGAGGCATCAAACGTGCGGGGCATTTTATTCTATCACTGGTACTACTTTATTCTAGTAGGACAATTACTTAGTTCCTTATTGCTTTCAAATACGACTATATGAATCTGTGTGCCTCAATATTCATTAAAGCAGCATTTAAATTCTTAGTTTACTTTTTCTGAAAAAATAATGAAGACCAAAAAACCAATAATGTATGATTATGGAATCAGATGTGTAGAAGAGACTTCAAGATACCCATCCCTTACACTGAGGCAGAGACAAATCTGTCTGAGCCACACTCAACCAATGCTTATTGAAACTGGCCTTTAACACCTTCACTAAAAAAGATCCCAGCCTCCCACGGTAGCTGTTTGGAGTAATTCATTATCCGTACAAAATGTTTCCTTCTAATTGCAGTGCACCTTCTTAATTGTGAATTAAATTATTTTTTTTCTCCTGTTCCTTGCAGACATGAAAAATAGTTGTTCACCCTTCCTCTTTACCTTCTAAGTATCAAACATGCTGTCATGTCCCACATTTGTCTTCTCTTTCTGCTAGGTCGTATTTTTCAAACCTTTCATAATCCTGTCACTCTCTTCTAGACTGTCCAATTTGCTTACATCCTTCTTAAAATGTGATAACCAAAACTGGACACAAGCCTGAGCTTGGCTGATTTACCACTGTGGAGCACAGCAGAATAAATGCATCTCATCTCTTTCACAACATTCCTGTTAACATTTCCTCAAATGAGGTCTGCCTATTTTTTTTATTTGTATTTTTCGCAACAGCATTATGTTAACCTAAGAATGGCTTTACTGGTTTAGGCCAAAAATCCGTCCAGTTTGTATCTGTCTCCGACAGTCGCCATAAGAGGATACTTAGGAGAGAGTTTGAGATGAGGCAAAAATGTGAAGTGAAACATCCCTTATATACAACTGTACCTCTTCTGGCAATCCACAGCTTTGAGACTTTCTCAGCTGAAGACTATCCACGTGGATCTCTGTGCTTAATATCCTGTGCTAGACTTCTAGTCTGTGGATTTATCTAATTGGTTTTTGAACCCATTTATATTTTTGGCATCTACGGCATCTTGTGACAGTGAGTTTTATAAATGTGAACTGTGTGAACAGGTTCTTTTCTTTTGTGTGTTCTATAGTTTGTGATATGGATGACTTGGATATGTTTGTGACTTGCTGTAACTTCTCACGTCCTTTCTTGCTGTACAGACACAAAGCTAGTTACTCACAATTTTGTACTCGTTCATTTGTCTTTTTTAATTCAATGTTATTGATTTTTGGACTCTTTCTTCAATTCCCTGGGATTACTTTGAATTCTAATTCTGTCCTTTTGAGCACTATCAACCTTTACCAGTTTGGTGTCACATATTTTTACATGCACACATCAGAGGTGGGAGTAGGGAGCTGAGCTAGGTCGGTGGCAGACCTCGGGGGGATTCTGTTTGACAGCTGCTATTTGACTGGAGTGTTTATATCTGTTCTATACCCAACTCATAGCATACTACATATACATCTTTTTTTAGTGTAGCTTTGAAGAGTGCCACGGGTAATAGTGCCAAAAGCTCTCCAAGTCAGACATACCTTGCCAGAAGCCCTTAGTGGGGTAGGCAGTTACTAAGATTTGGGGTGGGATTTTCTGTTTAACAATTGAGAAAATGAGAGCCTGTTACTTCATTGAGCCCTTGGACAATTCTGGATTTACTGTACAAACAGTAAAACTTTTTAAAGCCAGAGGAAGAATCACTGAAGAATAACTGCTGCGATATTCTCCACATTCACTTTGTGTAAATGCATGCCCAGGTTATAGGTTACTGGATACAGTGTTTAGTAGTGCAGTTTTCTTTCGTTTAGTCGGCTCTCTTTAGCTTTGAATCTGGATAACTATGAACTTGTAAACATTACAGAAAATGCAGCACTGGATTAAGTATAAAATTTAAACTTGCTAGTTTTCCAACTACTAAAATGTTTAGAAATTATCCCAGTAGAAAGGTGTATTAATTGCAATACACATATATAATTAAGTGAAGAGTTCCTACTAATAAAAAGATGTTTTCTTTAACAGGCAGCCACTTTGGTTTGAAAAATGCATCAAATCTTCGGCCCTTAAATCTTCTACAGGTAATTGATATACTTGGACACAATAATAATGATAATTTCTTAATTATCTTTAGAGACATGTTTAGTGCTGCTTACTGCATTGCCTCACACAGATCTTTGTAGCCAGGTGATCAGACAAACCCTAATTGCCTATTTAAAACACTTAGAGCAAGAGAAGAAGCTACTTCCATAAATGCAGGAGGTGGAAATTACATTCTTAGCTCACAACAGAGCAGGTAGTTCTCAGTAACAATCTAAAAATGCTGACATTTGAATTCATGAGATTAATACTAAAATATAGTCTCCAATTTCAGGATTTGTCTAAGTTCTTATTGCGAATTCATTCTTTAAACTGAAGTTAAAATTATTTTAAAAGTACAAAACAGTAGAATCACTCAGGAGTTACACATAGAAGGCCTAAAAGTTGAGCTGAACACGCACAGGTAGGTGCAGTATTAGCTTTAAAGAGCTTGTGGTAATGGAAATAGACATTCATGTGAGACAGGGAGTTTAGAAGGTCTGTACATGCTTTCTTTCCATTAAACACACATATAGATACAAACATGAGCAAAAGACGCTCATTATGTCAGAGCTCCATTTAAAAGCAGAGCAGGGAGTGTTTGTGGAATCAAGTGGAGTTCTTGGATCTTGAAATCAGCTGCAGTTACGGGTGCAGATGTGCAGCTTCAGCATTCCACAAATGTTGCACCAGGCTTCAAAAATACCAGTAAAAGATGAGCTGTGGCTCTGCTGCTTCCTCTTCTCACTCCTGTACACACTCCAGAAACATGGAAAAGGGCAGGCACAGGAGGCAGTTATGCCAGAGTAGAGCTCTTCCATAGAATTTAAAGTTTGTATTTGTTTGATACCATGTTCAGAGTACATCTTTTCAAGATACTTCTGCCTCTCGTATAAGCCAAGAATAATTTGGCTGAAATTGGTGCAATTAAAGCTGCGGCAAGGGAGAGGAATCAAGACTGTTTCACTTAAACATTTTTTTTATTATTTTTTTTTTGGTCAGACTTTGCAGCTTGTTAGTTGGAAACCTCTGTTGAAACTCAGTGGAATATTCTGAAAGTGAAGATAATACACAGGGCTTTTGAAGACTAGCCTTTTCACTTCCAGTATCAGTATGATCTCTACAATTTCAATTAGAGTAATAAAAATGTATTTTCCTGTGGAAATATCTCACTATAATTTAATGCAGGTTCATTTGCTGAGCGTAAGGCTTTTTCACAAATAACAGTAATTGCAAAGTGATTAATTTTAAAGGAATTAACAAAACAAGAAAAACCCAAGCCTCCAAGGAGCACTTCAGGGCATGTTCTAGTGGCTGAGATTGTAGGGGTTTTTTGTATGTATGGTTGGACTCTGATCTCAGAGGTCCTTTCCAACCATGGCGATTCTGTGATTATCAATGTCATGTTCATCTTAGGACAGTGGGGAAGCTCAGGAGTTTGTCTGAATTATGGCTTTTGTTTTTAGTCATCAACAACTTCCAGGTGGTTAACTTAGTTTTTAACCCACTCCAGCAGCAGCAGCTGTCACATTTTTTCTCCTCAGCAGTGATCTCAGCAGCCTACAACCTGTAGGCCAGGTGTGTGCCAACAGCCCTCCCTCTGGGGTGCGTGGATGAAACAGTTTCTGCCATTCTCCCCATCTCCCCCAGTAAACGAACAGATCTGAAGCAGAGGGGGAGGAAAGTCTTCCTCCAAAACCCTTCTCAGACTGCAGAGGCCTCCTTGCCATGGCTGAAGCTGGGTTATGCTACCTTTATTTATATCCTGTATCAAAGAGCTGTAGCAGAACAACTGGTTAAGCATTGTCTTACTCTAGCGTGAAGAGAGCCAGCCCTACTGTACGGGTGGTGTAAAATCAGCTCAGTGTTGTCCTGTTGTATCGTAACTAGCAGGTCAGATGAGCAGAGAAGAAACACAGTCAGGAGTCCTAGAGGAACCAACACGCTGCTGTGAGTTGGCTTGTGGTCCCCACTGCTGCTGTTCAACAGAACTGTTCTCTTTGCACCAGAGAAAGTATCAGTTGGCTTTAAAGCTGTGATCATAGAATCATAGAATCATTGAGGTTGGAAGAGACCCTTGGGATCATCGAGTCCAACCATCTACCCTACTCTACAAAGTCCTCCCCTACACCATATCCCTCAGTACCGCATCTAAACATCCCTTAAACACATCCAGGGACGGTGACTCCACCACCTCCCTGGGCAGCCTATTCCAATGCCCTATCACTCTTTCAGTGAAAAATTCCTTCCTAATGTTCAATCTAAACCTACCCTGTTGGAGCTTGAAGCCGTTCCCTCTCGTTCTGTTGTTAATTACCTGTGAGAAGAGACCAGCACCAACCTCTCTACAGTGTCCTTTCAAGTAGTTGTAGAGAGTGATGAGGTCTCCCCTCAGCCTCCTCTTCCTCATAAAGCCAACATCAGTTGGCTTTAAAGCTGTGATCTTAAGACTCGTGCTCTACTGCTGCCTGTAGTTAGTGTTAAGAGCCTTAATCGCTGAAGAAGTCTAAAAAGTCTTGATAGAGACCAGTCTGGTCACAAAATTACAAATTTTGAGTGGTTGGTATGTTCTAAAAATCCTCCCAGCACTAATGCAGCGGTTTGGGAAAACCAGCTGCTCTGCTTTTGTGTTCTTTATCTTTTGTCTTCCCTGACATGCAGGTCTTTTGTTTACCAAATAGTCTCGGCTGGATACTGGGTTTGTCATAATAATTTTTCTTTTGCTGCTGTCGACTGTTCATACATGAGATTCCTCTCTCAAATGTTTTTATGGTGTGTAGTCCCCTGTCTCACGGGCCTTGTTCTGGAGCGTGGGACAGTTTAAAGGGAGACTTTCAGATTTATTCTCAGAATCCAAATGTCAGTAACTAGTTGAATTGCTGAAAATAATTCATGCAAGCTCATGCTATTTGGTTTTATTTTCTAGACAGTGGGCTTTAAGGGCATTTACAAAAAGGCTGATGTGAGTTCTAGTCCTTCTTGCAGCAGAAAGTTCTTCTGAAGGAAAGCAATCTCTGCCTTGCCTAACTTGCCCAAAGGAACTTTTCCCTTGCCACGCATCACAGAGTGAGGGTAGGGTTGTTAGGTAAAACAAGCTATAAGGACAAGAATGTATGTGTTCACAGTGCTGTAATCCAAATGCTTAGTAGAAAAAAAACCCTAAGTTCAAAAAAAGACCAACAATTTTCTGTTGCCAACAGAACATACACATTCTCGTCTCATACTTTGGGTTTTCCCCCAGATGTTGGTTCTATGGCTTTCTGAGTCTTTCCTGGTTGTCTTCATCGAGATGGTCAAATCTTGTTAATGTGCAATTTTTTTGGCAGTTTACCTGCCTCTTAGTGGCATTATTTCATGCGGTTATTCTAAAAAAAAAAAAAAAAAAAAAAAAACCACCCAAAAAAACCCAAAACCACTGCACCTTCTAGAAATCCACCAGGTCAAAAGCTTTATTTGTTTCTACTGACTGATAAGTCATGCAGTTTACTTGAATTGTATATATAATATTTTATTTCCCCACTTTATGGATTGATACATAATTGAAGTTCTAGAAAAGGTCATAATTCAGACACCAGCAGACACTACATCAGACTCCACCAATCCCATTTAAGTGATTACTGTGAGAACTACTCTGTTCTGAAAATAAAATTTTAAAAGCAGGTTTGGGGTTTTTTTATGAAATTAAGGAGTGTGGGGCACAATATGAATATGTGACTAAGTTTCAGACTTTTGACATTTTGATTGATGAGGAGCTTTGCACATGGGTGCTTTCAGGTGTCACGTGAGGACTTTGGGGTTGGGATGGAAAATGTCATAAGGTCACAACCATGAACTGTAGTCTCTGCTGACTGCAGAGAAGTTGACAACAAGAAGGGACTTCTGCTGGGTAACAGGCATAACACCATTTCTGCCAACACAGAGCTATTTTGGGGCATTCAGCATCTGTTTGTTCTACATTAATGGTGACAACATTATAGCCTGTGTCTACGCGCAATGGAAGATGTAGAGTTCAGTGGCTTTTAAATGACACTTCAAACGTTTGCTTTCACGCTGGTTTTATTTACTTATTCATTGATGCTGAAGTTTGGCAATAAGGATCAAGCTTTCCATTTTTGCTAGGGGTCTGACCAAGGTCCATCCAATCAAGATCAGGCATTATCTGCCCAACAAGCTGCTGTAATTAACCTGACCGGGAATTTTATGCAACCTCAAGCCACAGGTACGTGCTTGCTGAGCCTCCTTCTGTAGTTAAGTGTGTACCTTGATAAATTCACACTGAAATGAAGTTTGGTCTTAAAGAATTCTTACATTAGATCAGAATGATTTTACTATTTATTATCAGCACATAAATTATACAAAAAATACTGGACTTTCAAAGCATGCAGTTTTCTGCTTTGCTTGGCAGTTCAGGAAATTGATAATATCACATGAAAATAAGGGAACAAAAAGAGACAAAAAGAAAACAGAGGGGGCTTCCATGCCAAACTTCATTGAGGAATGTTTCTTTAACTGTGTGCTTAACATCCAGTACGAGAAACCTCTTTGTGTCTCCACAAGCACTTCATAATCTAATTATGTTCTAACTAACAGAGTACCCTATATCACGTGTACTTTATTCTGCGCTGTTTCCAGTTTGACTCTGAAACTAATTCTATTGATCCCCCTTTTCTGTTCCACTCTCTTCCTATGTCTTCCTTGCCTGACCCTGACAAACTCGACCTCTTTGACCCGCTTGCTTTCCCCTTCTCCTTCCTTAGTGTTGTCTCAGCTTGGCTCTGCCGTGAACAGACCTGGGCAAAGCCTTCCTCAGCAGAGACTCCAGCTCTCCTCTGCCTTACAACAGCAGCAGCAACAAGCCTTGCAGCAGCAACAGATACAAGTAATCCAGCAACTTCACTCTGACTGTGTTTAAAAAAAAAGAAATACAATTTAAACAATACAATTCTCAGCTCCGAAAACAAAAGTCTTGCCCCTTTGACTTTCCTTTCCCTTTTTTATTTTTTTTAAAAAACCCAAATGTCTTTGTGGTCTCACAATTGAAAAAAAAAACCCTACGTTAATTATGGCAGACTATATCAGGAAAGATTTGAAATCTGTGGTTCTCTCAGCTTGGAGCACTGAATTTATTTTTATTCATTTAAGCCATCCACCTTCCTGATTTGCTAACATTCAAGGAGTGCTTGTGGCACATACCTAAACAAGCTCTGCCAGGTGCCAGTAGATTTCAAAATAGCATGAAATGTAAGCATCTGTAAGTTCAAATGTAGCACCCCTGCAGTCAGTGCATGGGAGCAACAGCTCTGGCAAAGCATTCCTTCAGCATTCAGATGCTTTATGAAAATACTTCAGTATTTTTTTAGCGCACAGTCTCCTCTTTGTGATACGTAAGAAAACACACCCAGTGCATACACTGAAAAGGTATTACGTTAAAATATGCACTACGTAACCCAAACATTCACTGAAGTTGCTGAGTTACTGCAGTTACTGCAATGGAAAGGGGCAAAGAAACAAAGGTGTCCAAGTACGTGTGTAAAACTGTTACAACCCGCCCTCAGCAGGCTTCTGTGCCACTGGTGCTGCTTGACTGTACCCATTGCCCCACTACTACTCCTGTTGTCGACCTGGTGCTTCATTTTTTTCTTTTTCCTTTTCATTTTCCACCTTCCTCTCATTCTTCCTGGCACCAAATGCAGCTTTACAGTCAACACTAACAAGCTTTTTTCTCCCCCCCTTCTCCTTCCCGGCAGCAGTTGCGATTCTTGCAGCATCAAATGGCTATGGCGGCGGCGGCGGCAGCACGAGCAGCTCATCTGCATCATCAACAGCTTTCAGGCAGCAACTCAAAAAGTAAACGGAAAAGAGCCACACCGGCCCCTCCAAAATCCTGATATTTGCCTTTTTTTTATTTTTTCTCCCCCTTTCTAAATAAAAAAATACAATGCAGAGGGGATATTTTATTTTTTTTTAAGATTAAAAAGGAGAAAGCTTAAAAACAAATCAGTGTTTTACATTTCTGGTGGGAAAGTGAACTTTTAACATTACACTGAAATAAATGAAGTGGTTTTGGAAGCCAACCCTACAGAACTTAGGAGATTTCAGCTATAAAGCAGCTAGGGGCTGATTTCCTTACGTCACTTAATTTTTTAACAGAACGTTTTATCTTGTATTTTTTACCACTCAGCAGCATTGTACATAGTATAAGGATGAAAAACATTTTAGAAAAAAGGAACTTTGTAAATGTAGTATTGGTATTTGTTTATTTAGTATAAAAGGTTTGTGAACACTGTAACAAATACAATTTTTACAAATCCATTTTTGAAAAGATCTCTCTTTTTGTTCAGTTGGGCTTTATACTTTTTATTACTTTGTCTATCAGCTTCTTTACTTCTTTGTGCCTTGTAATTGCTCTGGTGATACAGTCCTGAAGCTTGGCTCCTGTGAGAGGACTTCCACCTAAAAATTAAAGGGAACAATTTGATTTTCTATTTATACTTCAGTTGAGTATCTCTGTATGTGTTTTCCAAATGACAATATTAAGTAATACAGTCATTCTCATGAGCAAAAACTTTCACCTGGGGAGCTTACAGCCTCCCCAGCTCAAGCCTTGGGTAAAGAAAACAGAAGTAAACTAGAGGTGTAACAGGAGACGTGCTCAAAATATGTCATTTGCTGCGTGTAGGTCAAGCTGTGACTTCATTTTGAACTTGGAATACAATAGACTATTTCAGCTGGAAGGGACCTACAACTTCAGTCATTCCACCTTTTTCAAAATTAATTTCAAAAGCAAGTCATTTAATAAGTACTCAAGCAGACAGCCTGTTACCATAAAACACATATTTTACAAAGAAAAGCAGGTACATAACATCTAGGTGAAGAAAACATTATCAACTCCATAGTTTCCTGTATAATAAACTTGGAAGTACCTGGTTTATAGACAGAACATAGTCTGTCTTCATCATCAGTTACAATAGTTACTGTTCCCGTTGCCAAGTCTTCTTCTTCAGCAGTTGGATCAACAATGAGTAATGTGCTTGAGAAAGAAAACAGACGTGGACAAGTCAGTATCTGTTGCTCCATTAACACTATTGCAAAGTGCACAAAACTTATTCATTCTACTGTAGTCCTCCAAACTAGCTGCAGGTGGACTTAGTGCTTAGGCTTACCTCTTCTCTTAGCAAAATGCATCAAGTCAAAAAAAGGGGAAAACCAAAAAGTGAAGCGGGAAATTCCACATATTCAAGTGCATGTGTCTGGTAAAATAGCAGTTGTTGAATATACAGCTTTATGCCTAAGTTTCAGAGATTTGCGACACCCATGTATTGCAGGAAAATGCCATTTGCAATATGCAGTCACTTGTTGCAGTTATGCAAGGAAAAGGGCACTGGGTTTAGGTGTAGGCTGCACTAATCGCTACTAGACCTTAAGGCAAAACTCATTTCCAATGGTAAATTCACCAAAGTAGTTCTCAGTTTCTTGTCAGAGAACTCTACCACCACTCAGACTGGGAAGAGTTCAGAAATGGATTTACTGGGTTCCTTCAGGTAGCCGAAATAAGCTGTTGCACATCCCATGATGCAGATCGTTAAAAAGAGATTGACTATTGTTATTTTAAAACCATTTAATAAGTTAAAAATAGAGTAAACCAATGGAAAAATTAAAAAAAAAAAAAAAGGATCTAAACTATAAGCCAACTTTGCACAAGAAAAACTTGAACTTAAAAAAAAGCCAACCAACCAGCCACTCTTCAGACTAAGTTTCTTGAAAAAAAAAATAAAAATAATTAAAATCCCTACCATTACAAACATTTGGCTGAAGGGCAGGTATCGTGACAGGTAAGACTTTAGCTGCTTTCATGAAGCTTCAGTTGATACTGTTAAACTAAAATTTAGTAGTGATGTGATGAAACTCAATCGAGCAGCTGGAGCACAGCTACACCAAGCGATGTTTACGACAAATTTGCAGGGGGGAAGTCAGTAGCAAGGCCATAGGAGCTGACTGCAGCATAGAGATGGGAGGGTAATGGAATTTCTCAACTTGAACTCACATGCAATGCATAATTTAAGGTTTTCTTGATAATTTAAAACTTTACCAACGGTTTCAGATTGCCATTTAATAGCAATAGTGTAATGAAAACATCACTCCGTAGCCCCACTACTCACAAATCCTGCTTTGTTAATGCCACCCACGTGCTCTGTGCGGCATCGGCCCTTGGTGTGACACGGGGACCTGGCGCACATGGAGCGTTCGATGCATCACATTTATTATTTATGTACAGGTTGGCTCCACGGGAGCCAGCTGTGGAGCTGCACAGCACTCTGCACCAGCACTCCTCACCAGTTGTGGTGAGGAGCCACGCTCTTCAACAACCCAGAAGTTTTATTTATTCAAGGAGGGCTTTTACGCAGAAGAAAAATGTCTCTGGAAGCCAGAGTATTATTTAGAGGGCTGTGTCAACAGCTGTAGAAAAACTAATAATCAGAATTTAAAAAAAAATAAAATCCAAACCACCCAACAGAGGCACACACCCCCCTTCAATATTTAGTTTTAGGAGCTAAAGGGAGACTTGAGTAACTCGTTTGATGCAACAGTTGGTTTCAGTGAAGGGAACAAAGCCCAACAGGCTGTCACTGAAAACTTTCTGCCAAAAGCAACTTTTTTGTCTATCGGTAAGTAGATGTGATAATCAGTACGTATATGTGACTTGTGTGCAAATAATATCCTACTGACAACCAACTGCTCATCCTGCTATCCAAACTCTCAATCTACATCAAACATCACTCAAGAACTGGTATTAAAGCAATTAACAGAAGCTCTGTTCTGTTATTTGAATTACTGGTAACTTTCTGCCTTGGTTCATTTTTGGCAATCAATTGGTCATCATTTGATTTCAGTGCTTCCCCCACCCCATCTCATATTTGAATGCAAGAGCCTGTTAAATCCTTTCTGAGACTACAGATTCATGTGCCGTAAGCCCTTGAGGTCTCTCAAAACAATCTCACAGCAGACTCAGCACAGCGAGCAGCATTTGCCATTTTCTACTTCTCAAAAGAATAGCACCGTAAAAAACTGTGTTTCTTACAAGCAGCAGCAGAGCAGACACTTAACATACTTGGACTAATCAAGAGCCAGTGAACAGTTTCAGGTGAGGAGTGAAGTTATCAGATGTGATTATTTTGCATTCTCATAACCAGATTCTTTACCTACACGAACAA